AGCAGAAGGTTTGGTTATTTTGGAGAGGCAGGGCACAATTTTATTATTAGATCCCATGTCTTTCTCCGTTCCCCAAATATGGGTATCACAAACACTGAATATTTGGCTACCTAGAGAGGGTTAAACCAGGCTAATCCTTGGAGGCAAAGATTCTGGGGCTTCATCTGACATACTTTGGACATGTTGCAAGGAGAGACAGGTCTTTGGAGAGGGACATCATGCTTAGTAGGGTGGAGGGACAGCGCAGGAGGGGAAGGCCCTCTATGAGATGGATTGATTCGGTGACTGGGGTAATCGGGATGGGTGTGTCAGAGGCAATGCGATTGGTGCAGGATAGAGCAGGGTTTAGGGCTTTTGTATATAGGGTCGCTATGAGTCGCAAACGACTCGACGGCACATAACAACAACAACAACTGTCTCTATAAATAATGCTTTCATAGTATTATTCTTTCTTTACTCAGAGGATTACCCTATGGTACTGGCTAAATGCTTTGTATAGATTAGCTCATTCTTCCCTCTTAAGAATGCCTAACATAGACACTGGGTATTTGGGTTATTGGTATTTGTTTGTTTGTTTTTTCACTATGTAAACTATTTGTCAGTCAAGGGGCTAAAAATGGAACCTAAATTTGTCTGACTTTGAAACTAGAGTAATCTGAATCATACCTAATGGTAAGAAGCTGTGCAGCAATCTCAAAGGTACATGGTTCAAATCCATCAACTGCTCCACAGGAGAAGGATGGACAGTCTCCTTCCATGTGATTAACTGCTTCTGAAAACCTACTGGAGGGTCAGCTAGGCATCAGTTCCAACTCGAAGGCACACAACAACAACAACAAAGTGTCAGATATTGATGTACAGACACAATGTGGTAAGGCAAAAGAGACATGCCACTGCCTTCAAGAAACTCATGCATTATACTTGGAAGAGAGCAGCCAGTCTGGAATGGTCTTTGGGACCAACAGCTAAGGAATTTAGGGCAAGTTCCTTCTACAGATCTGACCACCAGATTCAGTGTTTGTAAGATGAGGGAACTGGACTTGTTATTAGGTGCCATCAAGTTGGTGCCTACTTATCGAAACCCTCTAGGGCAGAAGGAGGCCCTGCCCAATCCTTCCCTGGTCCCCTAACCTCTGCTGTGCTAACACCCATTGTTATAGTCACTGTCAATCTGTCTTCTTGGGGGTCTTTCCCTTTTGCATTCTCTCTACTTTTGGGCAACCTTTAAAGGCTATTTCGAGACTGAAAGCATCATTACCTCCGCATACTTGTAAAAGTTTCCTTTCCTGCTGGGAACAGGGAATGAAGTTAACCTCACAGTCATGACCTCATAGAAGTAAACTCCTTGAATCATGTTCTCAAAATGAAACAGTGAATTATTGAACTGACAGGGTTAACAGCTAAGACAATTTCCTTCCCTACAGCCTTTGCTTCGGTGATATGCATACTTATTTCCTTCCCTCCTTGCTGGGATCTGCAGAGATGACCTGTTCTGGGTTAAGTGGTCTTATTAATCCTTCTTCCCTAAACCACAAGGACTTAATGACACTTAATGACATAGAGAGTCTTGAGCATCTAAGAACAGTGCTGCAAGAAGATCCTGGGATATCGAATGAAGCAGGAAACTAAGCTCGGAGGAAATTTGTTCATTCCGTATCTTATCAGTGGGAAAACTGAAGCCAGTGGGTCAAGCTACCCATGCAAGGCAAGAGGGTAAGAGCCTGGCCTTTAATTCCCACTGTGAATTGGGAACACTCTGATGGCATAGACGTAAGGAGTTTTCTGCCAATGCAAAGGCACATGATTTGAATCTGCTGGCTGCTCCATGGGAGAAAGATGGGGAATCTCCTCCTGTAAGATTTACAGCCTCTGAAATCCCTCTGGAAAGTCGGCTGTGAGTTGGTTCTGACTTTACATTATGTAACAAGAAGAATTGGACATCTTCTCACCAAATCACCTTGATTGATACAGGATTCAACTTTTACTACATTCATTAAAAAAGATATTAATATTTGATAGGAGAAAAGAAATCTGATGTCTTCAAAGTTCTAAATCAGGAATATAGCATTAAAGATCAAGTTATACTTGCCCCATACCATAGTATTTTCCAATTCATTATACGTAGCAGGGTTACTAAGGTCAAAGAGACTGTATAAATGAAAGATGAGAACCAGGACGAAGGCGCCAAGGAATAGTGGGGAGTGTGGCAAACTCAAGAGGCATATCACATCTGAACGCGAGAGTAGAGTTACTCAGTAGTTACAGAGAGAACTCAACTCAATATTTACCATATTAGGTTTTTAAGAGAAACCAAAAATCTTAACTGCTTAATGTGAAAGTGTTTCAAACTGGCAGTTAAAACACAAAACCTAGAAAGACTGTTTTTGTCGATGGTCGCAGGCCTCAGTTTCTGACAACTTTGTTGATAAACAACTGCTCCAGTGTGTTGATCCATACTGGATGCAATAGCCCAAATTTTCCATGAATGATTATCACAGCCTTTCTGTTAAACCAGTCTCCCTCTTATGTGTGTATCAGAATTACCTGAGGGCTTGTTAAACAGATTGCTGAGGTCAACCAGTTTCCGGAATTGCTGCTTTAGCAGGACTCGAACTATCATGAATTTGCATTTCTAACAAATTTCCAGGTACTGGTGCTGTTTTGAGAATCACACTTTGAGATTCACACCTTTCTCTATGAATCTTCCATTAAAGCTGTTTGAATTTGCAGAGATCATTCAGTGGCCTGCAGTGATCATCTGAAATTCTCCATCTTTGGGAAGGAAACAAGGAGAACGGAATTAGGAGGTACAACTAGAGAAAGGAAAGCCTTTGGCTGTTCAACTTTAATATTGTGGAAGCAGAATATATCTTGGACAGGTCTCTGACCCTCCCCAGGGCTCAGCTTCCCTGTATCTTTGTTTGTTTGAGAGAGCTTCAATTATTTGTTTTTAGCAGAGGAACTCTGTTTAAATGAAATCCCACAAGGATCCCTAGAATATAAAACCAGACATGCTTTGCTGCGCTGGTTAAAGTGCAACCCTGTTTCAGAGATAAGCCCTTTCTCGTAGCCTCCCTCTCTGCGAGGCTGCGGCTGCCTGTGAGGCGTCTCCTACAAAATTGGAGCCCTGTGTGGTTGAAGCCTCTCAAACTGAAAAAGTAGTTGTTCTTGAGTCAGTTCCAACACTGTGTGGTCAGAACGGATCTTTACTTCTCAGGCATCTCTAGGGGACACAGGCCTCCAGTCCTATTATTTACCCCATTGACCACCCCAGGACTCCCCCACACTGATTGGATGTTCCCTTAAAGACCTTCAGCCCACCTCTGTGATTCCAGAGAACTGTTGACAGGCACACGCCTGGGTCTCTGCCATTTTCTTTTCCTCTCTGACCTAGACATCGAACACACCAACCTGCAGCATTTTCTTCTTGCAACTCAGAACGGTGTGTGAGAGAGAGAATGCGAAAGATTGTTATTATCATTAGAGCTGTTGTAAGGATATTGAGCCGTTGTGGAAAATCTGCTAACACAAGGATCAGCCAGAGACTTAATAAACAGGTGCAGGGATGATTTTATTCAGGTGGCTTCTCGTTAATGCTAATGCTCCCGAATGCCACACTTCCAGGGCCTTCATAGTTAATTATGCCGGAAATGGGACGATTGGATTCTGCATGCCACAGTGGTAAGAGCAAGTCTGCAGGATTTTTAATGAGCAAGGTGATCTGAAAAACTGTTTTCATTTAGGTGAGTGCAGCAGATGACTTAAACATGCTCGCAGAGTGGTGGTGATGCCTCGGGAAACCTGAGATCAGGCCCAAAGGCCAGAGTAGTCAGGTCTGTGTCCTTGATTGTTGCCCTTGGAAAAAGCATCAGGTGTTTTTCCTCAGTGGTTGTTGTTGTGTTTTGTTTTATTTTTTAAGATGACCCAGAGACACTGGAATGCAGCCCCCTTTAATTAGGGAAAGCACTTCCTAGTGGGCCTCATTAGAGGGGTGCAGCTCCCCATACACTTAATAAACTCTTCAGAGCTCAGCCTCTGTGCCCTGATTCCCTTGTGGCTGTTGCATATTCCTTTTCTCATTCAGTCTCCTGATTGCTTGCTTGTACTTTGAATACAAATTCACCAAATATCCACTTATTTGGTGACCAGGTCTTCGGGACTGCAGAGGTGAACAGGGACAGACTTTGTATCTTGTGTTCCATAGCCCTTTTCTTAACTGCTCAGCCGAATTTCCACAGCACACATCCTTTGCCCACCCAGGCCGAGTCCGCTGCCAGCCTCACGTTTCTGCTTGCCTGAGGCACAGCCACACCACACTCATCCCCTAAAAAGATCCTCCATTTCTCCAGCTGGAAGGAACTCTTCGGAGCACTTGCTCTAGACCACCCTTGGAAGGTTCTCTCACCTTACCCTGTCCAGCATCTTGCCCTTAGCCATATGGCCTTGTCTGAACCGTAATGTACTATCATAAGTGTACAACATACACCATTTCCAAGATGAGTTACTTTTTAAAAAAAATAGGAATTTTTCATAATGATTATATGTCGATGCTATTTTAGAAAGAATATACTGAAATAAAGAAAATACATTATTAAAACTAATTTCACCTGGCTCTTTCAATAATTTTAATGTGGATACTAGAATATTTTAAGTCATACATATGGCTTACATTTTTGTCTCACATTTTATTTCTCCATACAGAACTACACTTAACCACTTTTTGGTAAAAGGGGCGTCTGTCTGTCCATCTGCTTTCTTTTCTCACCTGCTGGTTATGAATTCCAGGAAGGTAGGGACTGTGCACCTATCATCTTTCTGATCTTTGAAGCACCTAGCTGGCACGTGGAAAGATTAGACAGGGTATATGGAGTGCACCAAGTGAATTAATAAACTAATAAATACCTTCAATTAATGCAAGAGCCTCCTGCAAGTGGTGTAATTTCTAGATGTAGTTATTGCAATCTATTTCCTCTTAGCATTCTTTGTTTTTTTTCTTATAGGGCGCACACAGTCGGCAGAAGACGTTTTCCTTGGGCGATGGGCAGAAGTTGAAAGACTGGCATGACAAGGAGGCCATCAAGAGGGACGCTCAGCGCGTAGGTAAGGAGGACAGGCTGTCCATGGCAGGTCCCGCGGAGTTTGTGCATGACCTGTGTCTGTGTCTAATAGGAAATTCTAGACCACTTTTTGGTATCCCCTCCATCTGTCCCCATGTAGTCTTCTGATTCCTAAGATCCCGTCTTTCCCTGGTGAGAAAGATCCACTCTCAACAGGAAGTTTCTCTGCCACTTTTATTGCATGAGAAAAATGATGTCTAATGGCATATTTCAGAAGAGGACTGCATATCCACGAACTGCTAAAAGAACAATCAGATATGTCTTGGAGAAGGTGCAGCCAGAGTGCCCCTTGGAGGCCAGGATGGCAAAGCTTCACCTCTCCTACTTTGGGCAAGTAGATAGGAGAGGCTATTGAAAGACATCATGCTTGGAAAGATGGAGGGTCAGCGAAACAGAGGAAGACCCCTTAACCAGATAAATTGACACAGTGACAGCGACAATGAACTCAAGTGTGTCAGAAACTGTGAGGATGGACAGGATAGTAGGTTCAGTTCTGTTGTTCATAGCGTCTCTGTAAGTCCTATTCGACTCAAGAGCACCTGCCAACAGTAACTGAGGTATTTTACCACTTAAATAAGCAGGAATCATAAAAATGGCCAACACTTAATACATGGCAGCTGAAAGCAAGGTGTCTGCTCCACACTTTTTGTGTGTTTTCTCAATGAGACACCACACTGACCTTTCTAGGGTATTTGACAGAAAGGGTCACCTGCCATCTGCCAGAGAAATGATAGTCACACACACAAAAAGAGGCAGACATGTGGTTTGAACCAAGGTCTGAAAGGCAGATTTCAGCCCTAATGACTCAGCACCCTGGCAATGAGCTTGAATTTGTTTAGTTGGCTTTAGCTAAAGTTTTCTGTAGCTTGTTAGTCTTTTGAGTTTTCATCTCACACTAGGGATCTGAGAAGCATGGAGGGTTGATGTGGCGCAGATATGACATGGAGAATTCTCATTGGAGAGCCTGCGTGAGGTGTCAGGAGAGCAGCTCTGGCCACAGCTTAATAGACAAGTAGTAGGCTCCATCCTCCCTCAGCTGCTGTTTCTCCATTTGTCACTGGAGCTTGTGCCTCTGCTCTGACAGCCTCAGGTTGTATTGTGAAGGCGAGGGGCATGAGGTAGCACTGCAATGGTCGAAAGTGCGGTAACGTTGCAAAGGATTGGTGTTTTTAGTCTTTTGTATCTCATGGAGAGCACAGAATGCTATTGATATTTTAATTACATTATGACAAAATCAAATTAAAATGAAGCCCTGAAAATAACTGATGGCCAACAAAGTCTACAGACTTGGCACACATTGTGTCTTTATGCTAGTGCTTTATAGTGAAGGAGAAGGGTCTGCTTAAATTGAAAAAGGAAATATTTGAAAAGAGCTGATTGCCTGACATCATTACAGCCTTGAGATAGCCATCGAGAAAAGAGTGGGCAACAGCGACATTATTAAGAATAATCTGCATTTGTTGCACACTAACTATGGCCAGGCATCTTGTCCTGCGTCACCTCTTTAATCATCACAGCAATCTCAGTATAAATGGAATACCTCAAGACTTTGATAGACTAAAGGCCTGCCCAAGATGACATAGCTGGCATGGCCAGGAATCTGTGGGGGCTATGGGACTAGACTTTGAACCCCAAGCCTCTTGGCCCCAGCATCTGGATTCTCTGCACTGCCCTTCTCAGGCTTCCTTTCTGCCTTTTCGCTGTATTGTGCTCGCTCTCTCTGTCTCTCTCTTCCCTCCCGCCCCAACCCACAACCCTTCGGATTCAGGTCTCAGCTTATACTTCCCTATCACACTGGAGATGTCAGCATTAACTTTCCAGAACACATGGGGCATTCCACAGACCACAGGCCCTGGAAGATGCAATTTTTTTATGTATTTGATAAGTATATGTGTGTATACAACAACAACAACATAGATCACAGTTGGTCTAGTGGACTAAAAGTCATGCTGCCAAGCCAATGGTGGGTGATTTTAATCTGCGGCCCTCACGCCTGGTTTTAATTGTTTTTGGTCAAACATTCTTCTAGATGGTATAGCACTGGTCTGTCAGATTGCTGTACAGAGCTACCTCGTGGTTGCTATGATACTGAACACTGTGACACTGATGTGTCAAATGTGATGATGTTTACCCAAGGTGGACAGTGTTTGGTGGAGCTCTCCTGTTAAAACAAGTGTGGAAGCAGGAGTGACATCCACTTCCAAAATAGCTTGCCTCCGGAAACCCTATGAACCTGGAGAAAAGATGAAAGTTACACAAGTGTCCAGGTCTTTCATTCATAGGGTCGCTATGAATCACCTATGACTTGATGGAACTTAACAACAACAACAACAATACATATATATGGCAAAATCATTTGCTAGTTCAACATTTTTTACATGAACAAACCTGTGACATTGATTGCATTCATCATGATGTTCAACCCAACACCACTATTCACTTCCAAATCTTTCTGTTACCATCAATAGAAAGGAGTTCTGCACTTTTAACTTGTTAGTTAAATTTGTGTCTTCTAGGCTGCAACACTTCCATGATGCATATTCAAGGATATGAACATATATGGCTAAGCACTATTGATAACAGAATGCATCTAAATTCCAAAATCAGTCTCCACAATAGTCTACGTGTTTCCTATTGCCAAAGGGGCCCTTTAGAGTAGTGAGAGAAGATCTTCACCCTGAAACCTACAGCTTTCCTTTTCAGCAGGAAGTAGCTAAGAGAATATGCTGTCCCCTTTTCCTTATGAATCAGGGTGAAGTCTCTCTCAGGGAGGAGTGATAGGGAATGGCAAAGGACACACTGACAAAGGAGATTAATCAGAACTGGCTTTGACAAGCACTGTGGCAATTGGACAATTTAAACAGACTTTCAAGGGAAAAAAAGAGAGAGGAATGAACTGGGGGTGGGGGTAGAGAAAATAGTGCAACAATGAATGAATGGAAATCCAAAATCTCTGTAAATGTTCATTAAAATTAATAAAATAATTTTTTTTTTAAAAAAAAGGAGTTCTGCTGGCCTGGTGGATAAGGAGTTGTGCTGCCAACCCAAAAGCAGGCAGTTCAAATTCACGAGCACCTCATCAGGAGAAAAATGAGTAGTCTCCTCTCATATAATTTACCCCCAGAAACCCACTCACCAGAAGCTCAGTACATTCTTGGTCATGACTTTCCTTTCCCTTGCCATCCTATCCCTGGTAACCTCTGGCAAATTCTGCTCTGTAAGCTTCTATATATTTCATGTAAGTGGTATTGAGAAATATGTGTCCTTTTGAACTAACTTACTCCACTCAACATGTTTTTAGAGTTCATTCATGCTGTAACATTTATTAGAACTCACTTTCTCTTTATGGCTGTATCTTATTTTAAAACGTCTTAATTGTTTTCCTTTTTTGATTGTGATGATTTGAGTGGATGTTTACAAAGTGGTTAATTTTCTATTCAAAGATGTAATTTTTAATCAGGTGCTTTGATGACCATTTCTTCAAGACTTTGGCTTGGACAGGAGTGACTTGGTATGAACATGGCCCTCACCATGTGCATCCTGGGAACTCAGAGGATCATATCCAGGAGTAGCATGGGCCCTTCCCACAGGGGCTGTGCAGAGAGCAAAGGGAGCACATGTCCATGGACACATGTCGTTGACACCATGTCCATGACACACCACCTCTCAGACAATCCTGCCCTTGACTAGAGAAATCCAGTTTTGTTTGTTTGCTCAAGAACAAAAAGCAAACAAAACAGAAAAAGAAAGCAACCTTTTTCCCCCCTCAGAGCTAATAATGTACTATTCTGCTGAAAAAGTAAGATGCATTCTTTGTAAACATATCTTTTCAGAATGTTTATGTATGCAATATATGTTTCACGCAATAAAAGTTAAATATCTGAAAGTATATTCTATAATACCCCAAGAATGCAAATGCTCACCAGAATTATCAAATTGTTTCACTTTTAGTTAACCTTTTTCTGCTCTAGACCTTTGCTGTTGTTCTGTACACATATGTTGTTGTTTTGCAGACACTTCATGGTGGTGGTGGTGGGTACTGCTGAGTCAGCAGTCATTCATAGCTGACTTTCTGGTGGGTTTTCAGAGGCACAAGAGGAGCATTGTCCTGCAAAGCAGCTGGTGAATTTGAACCGCATGCCTGCAGGATTGCAGCACAGCTTTTTACCACTAGGCTACCAGAGCTTCTTCTAGACATACAGGAATACTAAGTAATACATATGAGAAAACTGAATTCATCAGTAAATAACGATTACCATTGAACTGATTCTAACTCATGATAATCGTGTGTGTTATCAGGGTAGCAGTGATTTTTACAGCCAATGAAAATACATTGCTAGACTTCTTCTGAGGCCCTTCTGGATGGACTTGAACCATCAACAATTCCATTGTCTACATATTCTAAATATTCTATACTGAGGTAACCTGGTAACCTGGGGTTGCTGTGATGCTGAACCTGTGCCATTGGGGTGTCAAATGCCATAATGTTTACCTATGGTGGACAATGTTTGGTGGAGCTCACAGTTTAAGACAGGATTGGAAGCAGGAGTGGCATCCACTTCCTAAACAACGTGCCTCAGGAAACTATGAACTTTGATAAATGACAATAGTTATAGAAAGGCTTCAGGCCTTTTGTACACAGGGTCACTATGTGAATCCTGCTTGACTTGAAGGCAATCAACAACAACAAGAAAAAGAGAATAATCATAATATTTCTTCATACTTGTATAAAAACCACCCATTGCTGTCAAGCTGACCCCAGTTCCTGCTCACCCTGCATTGGGTTACCGAGGCTGTAAATCTTTATCGGAGGAGACATCTTTCTCCTGTGGAGCAGCTGGTGGATTCAAAGTGGATTTCAGTTACTAGCCCGCTATGTTGTCCACTGCTCCACTAAGGGCTCCTTTGCTAGAACATTCACAACCTGAAATTTCCTCTTTGCCCATAGGAAATGGAGAACAAGGGAGGCCTTACCCCATGACTGATGCAGAGAGAGTGGACCAGGCATACCGAGAAAATGGATTCAACATCTACGTCAGTGATAAAATCTCCCTGAACCGCTCTCTTCCTGACATCCGGCATCCAAAGTAGGTGTAATATCTCTCATCTTCTGGTATCTGAGGCTTTCAGGGCTGGTTCTTGTTGAGAAAGAAAGAAATGTGTGCGTGAAGCCCTACTGGAAATGAAAAAGTCTCTCTCTCCTGTTATGTGGAAACTTTATGCAAAGACCCAAGTGATGAGATCCACCTAGAACACAGAGCTGGGTGTGTGACACCGCTCCTTCCTTCTTCCAAGCTCTGTGTTTTCTCTCTTTACTGTGTTGCTTGAGAAAGCTCAGACTTTGGTTTGAGGGCAGAAATGGAAAATTTCAGCTTCACTCATTCCACTTTCTGGGTGCGATTCTCCCCCCTCCCAATTTCTTTTGTAACTGTCATGTGTGCCTATATATTTATGTCCCTGTTATAAATTGTTCCAGATTCTTTTGAGAGGAAACATGTCATAATTATTATAAAGACGCCAACAACAGCTAACGTTCTTTGAACAAGGAGGATGTGGCAAATGCTTTGTATGGATCATCTCAGTTAATTCTCCCAAGGTTCTATAGCAGTGCCCGCTTTACAGTTGAAGAAGCTGATGCTTGATGAAGGTTTTTTGATGAAGTTTTGTAACTAGCTTAAGGTTAAGCAGTGAAAAGAAACTGAGTTGGGTTTTGGACTCTAGTTGAACCAAAACCTATACTTTGGACTTTAATTTTTTAAAATTATTTATTTATTTGTGCATGTACCATTGAATCAGATCTGACTTGTACAGGAGAAGAGTGCCCCTCCTCCATCTGGTGGATTTGAACCATGCGCCTTCTGGATTGCAGCACAGCTTCTTGCCACTAGGCCACCAGAGCTCCCTTATACTTTGGACTTTAAGCATGGACTTTAAGCTGCCATGTCTGTGACACCAAGATTGTGGTGGTCTTGGTTAGGATTTTCCAGAAGAGCAAGGGGTTTGCGTTAGAATGGTGTGCATTAGAATTACCTAGAAGACTATAACAACGTGACAATAAAGAGGACTTTAAGTACTTACTGCTGAAGATAAAAAAAACAAAACAAGAAACTGCAGCCTTGAGTATGGATTATATCTCATGATCAGAAAAACAAAAATCCCTCTTCACTGGACCAATAGGCAACATTGTGATAGATGGAGAAAAGACCGAAGTTGTCAGTGATTTCATTTTACCTGGATCCACAATCATCACTGAGGATGACAATAGTCAAGAAATCAAGAACATGTTACATTGGTAAAATATGCTGTCATGGAACTCTCCAAAGTCCTTAAGAGCAAGGGTGCCAGTTTAAAGACTAAGGTGTTCCTGATCTAAGCCGTGTACCTTAAAGTACAATGGACAATGAATAAGTTCACAGGAGAAAAGTAATACCTTTGAGTAGTGGTGTTGGAGTTGTTGTTGTTTTGTGTTGTTGAGTCAACTATGACTTATAGCAACCCTATGAACAATGATTCTGAGCTTTGGCCCATCCTGAGCCAACCTTACCATTTCTGACACACCTCACCCCATTGCCACAGTCCTATGCCAATCCATTTAATCTAGGGTCTTCCTTGATTGTGTTCACCTTCTAAGCCTGATGTCCTTCTCCAAAAACTGGTCCCTCTAAGACACATGCTTAAAATATGTAAGACAGAGTTTCAAACTCCTTGCTTACGAGAAGCAACTTCACTTCACCATTTCCAGGACAGACCTGGTTGTTGTCTTGGCTGGCCATTCAGTACTGTTCTTCAGCACCACAACTCAAAGGCATCAGGTCTTCTCTTATCTCTAGTCATTGTCATCTCTCAGATGCCTAGCGAGCAATTGAGGAGACTGTGGCTTGCATCAGGCCCGCTTTAGTCTTTAGGTGGACATCACCAGATTTTCCCACTGCAACTTGTCTTTGATTGCTGGTGACAAGGACGTTTACTGTGGATTCAAATGAGATAAAATCATTAACAACTGTGGTCTTTTCTCCATATATCATGATGCTGTCTATTGTCCAGCTGGTGAGGATATTTGTTTCCCTGATATTAAGATGCAATCCATATTGAAGTCTGCAGTCCTCGATTTTGTACAGGAAACAGCAATAAACAGTACTCCAAACAGTGGTGTTGTAGAAGAGTACTGAAAAATCCCACACACTGTCAAAGGACAAGAAAAGTTTCCTGGTCTAATGGTAAGAAGCTGCTCTGCAATCCCAAAAGCATGTGATTCAAATCCACTAGCTGCTCCTCTGGAGAAGGATGGGCAGTCTCCTCCCGTGTGATTTATTACCTCTGAGAGCCCACTGGAGGGTCAGCTGTGGATTGGTTCCTTCTCAGCAGCACACAACAACAACAGCATCAAGTGCAACAATGAATGAATGGGAACTCAAGTTCTCTATAAATTTTCAGTAAAATCTCTATTCAAATAAACTAAAAAGAACAACAAATCAACATCAAAAGAATAAACAAGTCTGCTTGGAGGATATGTAACCAGGGTGCTCCTTAGAGGCACAGATGGTGAAACTTCATCTAACATAGTTTGTGCATGTTGTCAGGGGAGATCATTCTTTGGAAAAGCACATGAGACTGCGAACGATGGAGGGTGAGAGAGAGAGAGGAAGACCTCCAACATGGTGAAGTGACCCAGTAACTGGGACAGTGGTCCCCAGCCTTTAAGAGCCAGTGAGAAGGTGCAGAATAGAGCACGGTTCTACACTAAACCTGTTGTGCATAGGGTTGCTGTGAGTCTTAGGAGACTCTCTGGTCTCTGTAGTCCAGGGAGGTCTGGTGGCCCAGTGCATAAGGAGCGCGCTGCCAATGCAAAGGCAGGTGGGTCAGCATCTCCAGTTGTTCTGTGAGAAGATGAGGCTTCTCCTGTGTCATTTACAGCTACGAGTGGATTCCGGAAACAGAACAACATTTCATACTTCAGTAGATGATGAGGATTGAGACCTCGTTGTTTTTTTGTTGGTTTTTTTGTTTTGGTTTTTTGTTTGTTTTGTTTGCTTGTTTAGGGGTTTTTTTGAGACCATGTTCTTTTAACACACTCCTGGGTGATACTTGTTCATTTCTCCCTTCATTTGTGTTTTTGATCGTGGGTCTACACCTTAAGCATGACTGCAATGGGAGATCCTAATCATTGCTACCTGAAGGCAGTACTGAACAGTCCTGGTAGGTAAAGTGCTTTGCGTATGAATTGAGAAAATAGAGACCAAGGAAAGATATTAATGGCTAATATATGTTAGGAACTTATTGTATGCTATTGAACTGATCCATAGCTGACCCTCTGGTGGGTTTTCAGAGACATTTAATCACATGAAAGGAGATTGCCCATTCCTCTTACATGGAGCAGCTGGTGAACTTGAACCATGTGTCTTCAGGATTGAAGTATATCATCAGAGTTCCCCAGGCATTGATTTAAGCCCTGGTGTAAGTATGATTCTAAGACCCATAGCATCACTGGGGAGCTTATTAGAAATTCTGATTTTCAGATCTGAGTCCAGTTCTATTGACTTAGAAACCCTGTGTCTGGGGGGGACCAGCCAGTGTTTAACAAGCCCTCTAGGTGAGCATGATGTGTGCTCGAGTATTGGAGCTGCTGTTCTAGGTGCTTTGAATACCCGAGCTCAGCTAAACCTCTTAAAACACTATTAGATAGGTGGTTTCATCATCATCATCATCATTGTCGTTATCGTCATTATCATCATCCCAAAGATTGTTGCTGTTGTTAGGTGCTGTTGAGTTGAGCATGACTCATAGAGACCCTATAAACAAAATATCTGAACCCTGTTCAGTCCTGCTCCATCCTCATGCTTCCTGACACACAAGAGCCCACTGCAGCAGTCACTGTATCAATCCATCTGCCTTGATGGCCCTCCACCCTTCCCAACATCATGTCCCTCTCCAAGGAATAGCACCTCCTAGCAACATGTCCAAAGTATGTGAGTCAAAGCCTCATCTTTCTTGCCTCCAAAGAGCACTCTGGCTGCAGTCTCTACAAGACATATCGATTCGTTTTCTTGGCTGTCCATGGGATGTTCTGTGCTCTTCTCCAACACTACAACACAAGATACTAACCAGGAATTAGGGCACATAATAGTGACATAGTTTACATGAGATGACACAGCTCTTAAGAGGAGAAGTCAGTCTTTGCATCCAGAGAGTGGCTCTAAAATCCTTGTTCCTAACCCCTGAGACTGAAAGGTCTTAATGCCTCGTAAGAACCCAGACAGCAGAATGAAGTAGTAGAGTTAGCCTTGGGATCTTGTTTGGCAGCTTATAAAATGTGTTCAGCCCCATTATCTCCTCTAGAGCTGGTATGATTCTTATCACCTTTACTTTGTAGATAAGGAAATCAAGACCCAGGGACCTGAGGAACACTTGCCCACCGTCACCAAGCTAGGAGTTATCCCCAAAAGGTGTGCCACAAACCAGGATTGGGCCTTTTTCCTCGAGGGTTTCTTGCTTTGAAGGAAAGCAGCAAGCAAGGGACCTCGGTGTGCTTACCTGCAGGCTGTGCAATTTGTTTCCCAATCTTCACCGTCAAGCCTAGATTTTTCCACCCAAGTCTGAGAGTGAAGTTTAGCTATTACTGCTGTTGGAGGACTCCGAACTATGACCTGACTCCGAGGGTAAAAAACTCAATTTATGTTTTTAGCCCCCTACAGAGTTCAGAATTCTGGGCTAGTTTCCTCTTTCTGGAGCGAGGAAAGAAGTTCATTTGATATTACATTCTAACCTCAACCACTGCTCCTGGGGTTCTGTGAGTTCTCAAAGTTGCCTATTCTTCTTTTTTTTACTGATGACTGTTTGTTGTTTTTT